TTTTTTTTTTTTTTTTTTTTTGGTCTTCCATTCCAAAAACATTATTTTTCCATCAATTTTTTTATGTGAATTGTTTCATTTCTTAGTTAACATATGGTAAAATATCATTCAATAACTCCAAATATTTGCAGTATTATGGCCCATGTACATTTATAGGCAGAAGCACCCTCTGAACCTTGTCTTCCTCGGACTTTTTACGACTACACTTAGCCTCACAGTTGGCGTTAGCTGTGCTAACACCGATGGTTAGTATCTACAGTAAACTGTTCAGACTTGCTAATAAGATGTAAGCTTGATTAAATGTCCTGGTGATGATCAAAATCTATGATTCTGTGGTGTGGTGATTGCAGGAAGGATCGTGCTTGAAGCACTAATTTTGACCTCAGCAGTAGTTTCTTCCTTAACCGGGTACACCTTCTGGGCCTCAAAGAAGGGCAAGGACTTCAGCTATCTTGGACCATTCTTGTTTACTGCCCTAATGGTCCTCGTCCTTACTAGCTTCATCCAGGTCATTTTCTGCCCCTTTACTCCACAGTGGCTCTATTGACTCTAGCTTCTTATATATCACTTTTACCATGCTGGGTACCGTCAATAAAATTTAACTTAACTTCGACCAAATCATTAGCTCTAAGTGTTTACTGTCCTAATGATCCTTGTCCTTACTAGCTTCATTCTGGTCATTTTCTGCCCCTTCACTCCACAGTGGCTCTAGTGACTCTAGCTTCATATTTATCACTTTTACCACGCTGGGTACCGTCAATAAAATTAACTTAACTTCGACCAAATCATTAGCTCACAAGTGTGTTTACTGTCCTAATGATCCTCGTTCTTACTAGCTTCATTCAGGTCATTTTCTGCCCTTTACTCCACAGTGGCCCTACTGACTCTAGCTTTATATTTATGACTTTTACCTCGCTGGGTACCAACGATAAAATTTAACTGAACTTCGACCAAATCATTAGCTCAAAAGTGTTTACTGCCCCAATGATCCTCGTCCTTACTAGCTTCATTCAGGTCATTTTCTACCCCTTAACTCCACAGTGGCTCTAGTGACTCTAGCTTTATATTTATCACTTTTACCACGCTGGGTACCGACAATAAAATTTAACATAACTTCAACCAAATCATTAGCTCACAAGTGTTTACTGCCTTAATGATCCTCGTTCTTACTAGCTTCATTCAGGTCATTTTCTGCCCCTTTACTCCACAGTGGCCCTACTGACTCTAGCTTTATATTTATCACTTTTACCTCGCTGGGTACCCGCGATAAAATTTAACTGAACTTCGACCAAATCGTTAGCTCATAACTGTATATGTTGTGTATTGTAGGCATTCTTCCCTCTCGGTCCTACCTCCACTGCCGTTTACGGTGGAATTGGTGCGATAATTTTCGCGGGGTACATTATATATGATACAGACAATCTGATCAAGCGCTTCACATATGATGAATACATATGGGCTGCAATAACTCTTTATCTGGATATCCTGAACTTGTTCCTGACCATTTTGCGGATGCTGAGACAGGGAGACAATTAGGCGGACAGAGTTTTCTCTACCTGAACTCAGGCTTCCATCATGCGGTTGCTTTATTATATAAATGCTTAAAAATAACTGTCGGTGAAATAGTACATAATACTCTGAACAACGTTCTTGTTGTTGCCTTTTAGTTTTTATTCTGACTGAATGAAGTTTGATACTTTAGTTCAATGTGTTCACCTAAACTGTGTTATATATACATAATGCTTTGTTTGTAAATTCTTGACCTCATACTTTGGTCCAATTTGCTCAGAGTTCTTGCTTCTTTGTCCTCTTCAGAAGGGATTAATTGGGATTGGATGATATTTGTTAGATTCAGCTTTTTAAAATTAAAAATAAGTCGGATTTGAGAGAATATTGTTTTTTTTCTTTAATTAAAGAAAAAAGGGTATTGAATGATTATGTTGTTGAGATTTAGACATATAGATTGTTTTCAAATATAAGGTTAAATCAATCTGGCTTGAATTTTAAGATTTGTGGTCATGATGTCCTCTTTTTTTTTTTCTTTTTTTTTTTTTTAATATTTAATAATAAATGTTTAATAGGCTCTAAGAATTGCTCGTAGTGACCAACTTGTAAAATGTATGTCTATATCATAAAAGTTGCAAAATGTATGTCTATATCATAAAAGAGGTTCGTCGTTCTTGACCGTGCTTTATATTAGTTCTTATTATTTGAACGAGTAAAAGTTATGTCTTGATCTAAGTGGGAATAGTATTTCTCTTTTGAATGTTCATATAAATTTGAAAAATTCAAACATTTCATTGATAGAGATATAAGAAATTATCAAACAAGAATTTGTCAAACAACAAGCACAGCATCTCACTGTTCGTTGTCTCGTTGTTCTTGGAAAATCTGCTCGTTGTTCTTGAAAAATCCACAAAATAATTATGTTCTCCACAAATTTCCTAAATTTTGAAATATCCAAATTTCTCAATGATAAAGAGATAGGAAATTATCGAACAAACCACACTCTTTCACAAACCAATATCCAAATTTCTCAATGATAAAGAAAGAGATGGGAAATTATCTCACAAACCACACTCCTTTACATTCGAGTCTATTGACGAGAAGGGAGTTTTCTCTTAAAAAAGGCTGACATTCAAATATCAAATATATACCAATCTCGAAATTTATGAATTAAACTTGTAATGTAAGAATATTCTAAGAAGAATAAACTCGTAATTAAACATCAATAAAAAAAAGAATCTGAATGTACTAGTGAAATGAAAAGATTTGATATTTACCTAGTTCATCGATCCTTTCTATTCTTTTCCATTTTAAACCTCTGGTCTAGTAAAATTCTGGTAAATTGCAACCAAATGATCAGTTAAAAAGGAAATCTGATCGGTTTCCTTACAATACCAGCAATTCCTCTCTTCTTGTTTGACCTGTATTTTGCATCTTAGAAGAACGTTGAACAATTCACACTTACTTGAGAGATGGGCAGCAGGCATTTTCTTGGCTGAAAAGTGCCTTCAAGCAATATTAATTACAGACACCTTCAATTTGCAATTTGCAACAACATTGTTTCACAGTAAAGAAAATTATTTATACATTAATAACTTGTGCTTTGGCAAATAATCAATCTCTCGTGCATTTTAGATGCAAACTCACTCAACAGGCATGGTTTCGGGGGGATAAAGCACGACGTGGGAGAACGATTTTATCGAGCAAGGTGTTGGAGGCGTGAAACTCTTTCTATTTCTTTGATGATCAACTCTTTTTCTTCTTCGTACTGTTCGTCTTCAGCACCTGTAATAGAATCAGATACCATGATGAATGAACTTCAACTAGCATAGCATCAAGCATTTAAGAAGAGAGCATATAATGTGACAATAATTCTGCCATTTTAAACTAAGAACCTTTCCCAGGAGAGAGATCATGAAGCAATTCCAGAAGCTTTTCGTGGTTTTTCGCTAGAATAACCTTGATTTCGCGTGGCTTATTAGGATTCGCGACAAAAACCTGCAAAAAAGTTGGACAAAATTATCCAAGTTATAGCCATTATACAATGGCTATCATAGAACCAATTGCCTTGTTCATATTCTAAATATTTCCATTTGATCATCAAGTAGCAGGAATTCACAATGGTTCCCACCATTTTGAGAAGGAACTTTTGTCAGCAACCTCCAAAAGCTCTGAAGTCAAGCCTCTAGGTTACGTAACAATCGAAAATCTCACGTCACTCGGAATCGGATTAGGAGACGGCGAAACGTTCAGGGTATGGAAACATAATGCGGTCACGGAACTCCAGAGATCCCAAATATATATATATATATATATATAATGTTCAGAATTTGAATGTTTATTGAAATTTCATGCTATGGTTAATGTCACTACTTAACAACAGAACTATTTGAACTATTCTCAAGGTGCTGAATCCGGCAGGTTGCTAAACCAGCAAGATGCAAAGAAAAGGCGACTACGACGATAATACATCAACAAGGCAATAATTACGGGCATACCAAGGTCCAAAAAAAGAGCAGCATACAATACCTTGAATATGTGAAAAGCAGACAGTTGGATGTTCTTGCTAGAATCCTGCTTGGAAAAGGCCAAGAATAGGGAAAATGCTTGAGCATCCATGGAAAATAATGCTAGCAAATGTTGAACAAATTGGATAAATTCTATAAGTAGTAATAACTACCTTTAATAGAGTCATCATCACTTTCATATTCCGAACTTCTAGAATGTATCGCTTCATTATTTGTGAATTTGGAGATTCCAATAAGAATTCTGACAGAAGCTGAGCTCAAAAAAACATTTGTCATCAGAACATTGTCTAATTATGTTTATAGCCATATAAAAGGAAATTAAAAAGCCGCCATGAGAATGGACCTTCAATGACTGTCTTCTAGTTACATAATTGGAAGATGTCAGGAGTGTTTCATATCTGTCAAAGAACTGGAAAATAATCTCTCATTATATGACCAAAAACGAAGTCATAAAAAAAAATCAAATAGTAATAACTTGAGGGATAAAAATAAACTCAAAGAAATATGTTCATTTCTATCCCAGAAGAGCAGGGCTCTACACAATTTCATAACTGTTGCCATTTTCGTAACACTATACAGGTCGATTTGGAAATCCAGTCCTTGGATTTAGTCGCTTTTGATTAACATTGGGCTAAATCAATATATTTAAGGAAGAATGGAGGTGAAATAAATTGAACTATGAGGATTAAGACATTCGAAGTGGCAAAATTGAGACTATGAGTAAAATCTAACCGAGTATACATATAAAATGGTCAAAAGAAACGAAACAACGTACCTCAACGTAATGAGCGCCCAAGAAGTTGGAAACTATATTTCCATGTTTGGTAAGCAGGTCCTGCCAGAAATGCACTTGTTTCAAGTTTGCACTATGGATATCAAATCTAACACACTTTGCATCATAAAGAAAACATATAATACCAGCAACTTATGTCTAACCTTAAAAGTAGAAAATGCATCCGATGCAACATCAAAATTTGGTAACTCCACAAACTTGAAGAACAATTCAAAACATGCAGACTCCAATATGTATCTGAGAAATCACTACAAAAATAAACTGTGAAGAAATGAACTCCCTCTTAGAAACTGAAATGACAACTTTCTCATCTAACAATAACTTGCAGTGATTGGAAAATCACACACGTTGAGTTCTCTAAAAGATTTCACATGCGTAACCTTCTGTTCGAATTCATAAGGTAATTTGTTCTAAAAGTGGGGTACGTATTCAACAGAGTTAGTCAAATGGGTTTAAGACACATGAAAATCAAATACAAGTCTTGGACGCTGGGGCAATTTAGAATACATACAGCAACTATGCGATGGATTATTAAATATGAAGAATGAAGGAATGATAGTAGTTAGTGCCAAAAATTCGAGGAAAAAAAATGTAAAAAATATGCAAACATAAGGTTTCTAGACTGTAAAGCATGCCCATACTACGAGAAACGAGTTCTTTCTACTCCAAACTTGTATAATACTTCCTAACAATCTTGTCAGCAAGGACCAACTACGGAACTTCCCTGAATCGTAGAATTTCGTTTCGTACATTATAAAGTAGCATCAACCTATTATCGATGAACAAAGTAACACCAACTTTAGCACATTGTTGAAACCTTGACGGTCAGTTTGAAAAAAGAGCATGCATCTTACTTTGCAAGAGTTGGAAATTTAATGCATTCCCTCAACATGGTTCCACAGTTCACAGCAATCTCTTTGTTGTCATAGCTGCACGTAATAAGTTTCGGGAAAGAAGTAAGCAGACTGCAAATGGTAGTACTGAACTTGTATAGAACCTCCCAAGAAATGATCTTAGCAATTATACAAAATCATTCCATTGTCTACAAGAGAAATTGTTCATGACTTGACACAGATATGAACTAATCCAGGAAGTGATATTCTTGAACTTACCACACAACGAGAAAGTCTAGCAACTCGAAATGATTCTCAATGTACTGTACACAGCAATAAGTGGTGCCAACCTTTTGTTTCAACAATATGGACCAACAAAGGACAAGGTCCTTTCTTGCCTACATCAAGAAACATTGTCAATCTGAAGAATGATTAAGATACACGTTTGTCCTGGCGATTAACTGTAAGAAATGTTAAGACATGACTTACTTCCCATCCAAGAACAGGCAATTTGTGAATTAGAAGATCGATAACACACTCTTTACATATCTCCTCCACTAGCTGTGAAACTTGATCCGCATTCGGTTCAACCTCCGCGTCTCCAATAAGCATACATCTCATAATTACGAAGTTCTTCTCAACTTCTTCCATAGCCTGAGGCAAAGGATCATTCAAATGTTTAAATAATCTCTGATTCTGAGGCGAAGGAATTTCACCAAACAATTCTTGTAAACCTAAAAGTAAGTCCAAATCATCCCCAACCAAAAGAAAAATTGGTTACATAATGCGAGGAAATGAGACTAACCTTTTCAAGAGCTTTAACTTCGACGACGGTTTTGGTATCGAGTGCCATAAGGCTGTCCTTGATGAATCTGGCCACCTCCTGGGGGGTTTTAGGCCTTGATGGCTTGAAGAATGAGAACGACATGATCTATAGTGCAAATCAAGTTCCTACCGTCGTTCCTCAACTTTTTCCCTGGCGATCTTAGGTGAATTCTTCAGAATTAGCAGAACCGCAACGAATCAAAGAAAAGCAGAAGCGCCGCAGGTCGGAGTCTTCTTCTTCTTCTTCGTCTTCCTCCTGAAGCTTCTCTGTTGTTCCGTATTCGATTGTCCGTGTAAAATTCTGACGGAATCTTCAACCAAACATTCACATTTTTTCAATCTTCAATAATCAAATCAATGAAAACCAAAAAAGAATAACGTTGCATTATCATTCCCGAGTATAGCGTATGCTTACGAAATCGACGATGGAACTCGACGAGGGAAGAACAATGCGGGCTGTTTGGTTTAACCAATTGGATGATCTTGTCATGGACAGACTTGAAGCGACGTCGTTTGGATGGTTGTCAATTTTCCGATGCATCGGTTTGACCTAACGATTGTCGTCCTCCCTTTTAATTCTATTAAATAAATACATAAATGCATAATTATGTGGGTTTTATTATTATTTATTTTTAAGTTCTATTCTCCAATCATTTAAAGTATTTTTATTTATTATTATTTTTAAATACTATTAATTATTTCAATCATTCTATATAATACACTTTAAATTATTAGTTTTTAAATCCTTATGAAAATTTATTTTTGTTAAAAAACTTATATAATTTTAAAGAAAACGAGATTCGAGTTTAATTGTGTTTTAACTCTAGTGTCGTTATCTTTAAAGTTGTGTAGAATATTAGGAGTGTTTATATGATCATAGAACTCGACCAATTTAGACTATCAACTAAACCATAGTGGCTGAGTTGGACTGAAATTTCTGATTAATTCCGCTATTTACATCTTTTTTATCAGGTCAACTCAATCAACTCAAAAATTAGAATTACAATACAAAAACCCTATTTTAAAAATTAATACTAATATTAAAAATATTTTATATTTATAATTAATATTAGTCAGATAACTTATAAATGTTTGATTTTAGTAATTGTTTTGTAGGAAAAATAATATTTTAATTGATTTTTTCTCAGAAAATTGTATGAGACGAAGGGAAAGTTACGGGGTGGACACGTGGACACATGGCGTGCTGGCAGTTATCAACAGAGACAAGGGTATTATGGTAAATTACTTATTTCCCTCTCCAGCCAAACCGCCGACTCCACCGATCCTCCAGATATAAATGCCTTCCTCCGATTTCCCTCCGCGCTTTTATTTCTGCTTCTTTCTGATGCCAACAAATTCCGGTCTGAAATTTCAGCGACGAGAGATTGAAAGTTCATCGTACTCGATGCGTGGCCATGATTGGATCAATACGGTTCTTCCTGACGAACTAATCGTTGAGATCTTCCGGTACCTTGACTCGAAGCTGAGTCGAGATGCTTGTTCTCTCGTCTGCAGGCGTTGGCTCAAGCTCGAGCGCCTCAGCCGAACCACTCTGCGAATTGGCGCAACGGGTAGCCCCGACCTTTTTGTTCAGCTCCTTGCTCGTCGTTTCGTCAATGTAAAAAATGTCCACATTGACGAGCGCTTGGCGATATCTCTCCCCCTCCATTCAGTAAGCCATTAATTTTGACCTCAATTGTCTACTTGATATTCATTTAGGCTTATGGATGATGCCATTTCTGAGTTTTTAGGATTGGAATTTTGCTTGTTGGTTTGATTTCACGAGTGTATTGTGTGTAATTGGAGAATTTGATCCGCTTATCGAGTACTTTGGAGAGTGAACTGGAATAGTGCTCATATAAGAACACATCGTTGGGGAATAGTGGTGTGCATTTAGGTCAGAAGAAAAGGAGAGAGTAATTGGCAGAGTGGTTCAATGTTACATAGGGGACTTTACCGTGCAAGTTTGATTTAGGCCAACCCAACCCATCCTTTTTTGCTAGAGAGCTCGAGAAACTGTCTTATTCAGGGAGCTGAAATTCATTGCTAAGGTTTTTGCGTCAAAACTTTGAAGTTTTTTTAATTTCATCAAATTGAACCCCCGATTTGGGCAAATCACCTTTGTTTGTTGAGTTACTATCTTATAGATTCATAAATAGGCGTAGCATTTTATAATCCTTAGGTGCTGGTTTTTGTTGTGGCAACGTTTTCACGTGCTGGGTTTGAATGTTCTTATAACCACTAAATTGGCTGGATTATGGATACTATGTTGGTTGTTTTGGACGATCAATTCATTAGCTTTTTGGGTCATTTTTGTGATGATATTAACTCCTCTGATTGTTTAATTGTAAAGATTTCATTTAATGAAACTAAAAGTTTGAGCTTGAAATTGAATAAGCATTGTAAAAATGTCAAAATTTTATTGGGAATGTCTATGCAGGGAAGAAGACGGCGCAATGAGGTCATGCGCTTGCCATTTAAGTCACATCATGCAATTCATAATACCGGGACTGAAGGTGCGGCAGAGTCTTCTTGCCTGTCTGATGCTGGGCTAATTGCCCTCTCCGTAGGTTTTCCGAACCTTGAGAAACTGAGTTTAATTTGGTGCTCGAATATTTCAAGTCAGGGCTTGACATCCCTTGCTGAGAAGTGCAAATTTTTGAAGTCACTGGATCTACAGGTAATTCGTAGTCTAGTTTCCTAATTTATTGAAGAAAAATCCCTAAATCACGGATGTGAACTTTTAGTGGAATTGATAGCTTGAAATTCATTTAAAGAACCCTTTTATTATTCTAAAAATAGTTGTTATAGATGTTTTTCCAGATAATCAAGAATCATGTCCCTGGTCTTTTACTGTTGCGTATCTACTGCGTTCTGCAGTTATCTTTTCGAAACTCAACTCATTTTGGTGGCACATCACATCTTTTCCTTTTCTTTTCACCTTCTTGTTTTTGGTAACTGTGGGTGTTCATGCTTGGTGACGCCTAAACATTTGGTGACAGCTAACATGCTAGATATTTAATATCCTAGGTAGGAAGGTGGCCACCATGGTTTGGCATGTCCATTTCCTTGCATTGTGTCATTTAACATTTATACATCGAAATGGCTTCAGAAAAGACAGATGGCACAACCTGCTTATACACGGTCTTCACTTATTGAAGTACTTTCACTATAGACAGATGGCACAACCTGCTTATACACGGTCTTCACTTATTGAAGTACTTTCACTATAGAACTTGGTCTCTTTCGTGACCAACGGCTTTATCCCAGTGGGATAGCTGAGTTGGCAATATATAAGTGTAGTAGCTGAAAGTATTTCTGAGTCAGGCTTTTGACTGGAATTTTGTAACGTAATGGGGTTTCTTCGGCTGGAATTGCTAGCTGATGTCTAGCTTTACTGAATCAGAATTTATTTTAAGATTAACTATGTCTGGAGGTTTGTATCAATAATAATCATAGTTTCCCCAATGCATTGCCACCCATGCCTCTTATTCTCAAGGTTACTTACAATATAGGTCAATGTTCCTTCTGAGAAGTATTTGTTCTACTCTGATGTTTCCTAGGGTTGCTATGTTGGGGATAGAGGTGTAGCTGCAGTTGGGGTATTCTGTAAACTACTCAAAGATGTAAATTTTCGTTTTTGTGAAGGGCTGACTGACGTTGGTTTGGTTGAATTATCCCGTGGCTGTGGGAAATCATTAAAATCATTTGGTATGGCTGCTTGTGCCAAGATAACGGATGTCGCACTAGAAGCTGTAGGCATGCACTGTAAATATCTGGAGTCCATATCGCTAGATTCAGAAGTTATCCATGACAAAGGGGTGCTTTCTCTTGCCCAAGGATGCACACTTCTTAAAGTTTTAAAGCTACAGTGTACAAATGTCACAGACGAAGCTTTGGTAGCTGTAGGCTCCTTGTGTCCTTTTCTGGAACTATTGGCTTTATACAGTTTTCAGGAATTTACAGACAAGTAAGTTTCTTTTAAACAGGAAAAAAAAACTCTGATTATTTCTGTCTACACACTTCATTTTTATGATGATCTATTACCCTTTTTTGAGTAAGCAGCTTCTTATTTGAAGGCCAAGGAATTATTATAGTATTTGGGGATTTTTCCCCTTGGTTTAAGATTACAGATGCAGGGTTTGAGTTCATTGAGCACTGAACATTATGTTTGATATTCTTCTCCAAATGATGTGTGTGTTAATGGTTGACAGATACCAGCATCAGGAAGAATCTTGATCTCAGCATTCTTCATTTATTTACCCACCCACATTTTTCTAATGATTCAGGGGATTACGTGCCATTGGAGTAGGCTGCAAGAAGTTAAAGAATCTCACTCTAAGTGATTGTTATTACCTGAGTGATATAGGCTTGGAAGCAGTTGCAGCTGGTTGTAAAGGACTAACACATCTTGAAGTTAATGGCTGCCACAACATTGGAACCATGGGACTTGAATCCATCGGAAAATCTTGCCCGTACTGTTTCTTTCGAACTCCTGAAAATTTTTCTAGAATATTCAAATGGATGTATTGTCTAGGTTTATTATCTAAATACTTGCATTACCCTTGTTGTTGGGTGGGTTCTTTCCATGGAGCGATTCTCATTTATAGCAAGCGTCCGACTGGTGTATCAATGGCCGTTCCTGTTTAATCACAGTAATTTTTCTCCTGGTCATTATCTGGTTTTTGTTGTTTCTATCTGAATCTCTCTTCATTTTCCCTATCTTGCAGCCAGCTCACTGAATTGGCTTTGCTGTATTGCCAAAAGATTGTTAACTCTGGTCTTCTTGGAATTGGTCAAAATTGCAAGTTCTTACAAGCTCTCCATTTGGTAGATTGCTCGAAAATTGGAGACGAGGCAATATGCGGTATAGCCAAAGGATGCAGAAATTTGAAGAAACTCCATATTCGTCGATGCTATGAGGTCTCTGTCTCTCTCTCTCTCTCTCTCTCTCTCTCTTGTCTACTGCATCAATCATATAAATCATTATTACACTCTAGTTTTTGCTTCAATTTTATTTTTAATAAATATATCGATATATTTTAGTCTTACTGCTGTTCTCAGTGATCATAACCAGATTGAGTTTAGCAGGATGGCTGCCCAAATTAGTTGTTTTTTTTTCTGAAAAAGAGAAATAAAGAACAACTAATATCATCGTTTATATTATCGATTATCGATTATCTCAGTGACACTTCGAAAATTTGTAGTTCGCATACAATGGTGAAAGTTGGCGACAATTTATCTATTGAGTTTAATGTTGGGCGTTCACTTTCAGAAACCATAGAATTTGATTTTCGTATATCTGGTCTTTATACGAAATAATCAAGAATACTATTTTGTAGAAGGTATTATCTGTTCATTCAATTGATAAAACAAGTTGGATGTGGTTGAGCTTTATATGCTGCATTAAGATATGACATTCTAGTGGGAAGGAAGAAGTTTCACTATTAATGAAGTGTTTTCTTTGGAGCTAGATTGGGAATGCAGGAATTATAGCTGTTGGAGAGAATTGCAATCTCCTCATAGATTTGAGCCTCAGATTTTGTGATAGGTACATTCTTATCCCCCTCCTTGCCTCCCTCCCTCAACATCTCATGGTTTTAATTTTTCGTAGGGTTGGCGATGAGGCGCTTATTGCCATCGGCAAGGGATGTTCCCTTCATCAACTGAATGTTAGTGGGTGCCACCGCATTGGTGACGTCGGAATCGCAGCCATTGCTAGAGGTTGTCCCCAATTGTGTTTCTTGGACGTAAGCGTTCTTGAGGTATGCCCCTCGTTCTCTCTCTGAAGGCGAGACTCGAAGTGTACGTTTTAGTCGAAATGAACTTCTCAGAATCTGCTAGTACTTATCCAAACAAAATCAATATCTTTGGACAGAACTTGGGAGATATGGCAATGGCTGAGTTAGGAGAAGGCTGCCCCTTGCTTGAGGACGTGGTACTGTCTCACTGTCACCAGATAACTGATGCAGGTATAATGCATTTAGTGAAGGGGTGCTCGATGCTCGAATCGTGTCACATGGTCTATTGTCCCAGCATTACCGCAGCTGGGGTCGCCACTGTCGTTTCTAGCTGCCCCAACATAAAGAAAATTCTGGTCGAGAAATGGAAGGTGAGTGAGAGAACGAAACGACGTGCGGGCTCAGTTATTTCCTACCTTTGCGTGGACCTCTAAATCACATTCTCGTGTTCGTGTTCGTGTTCATGATGGTTAAGTTCCAGTAAGACGTTATCTTGCTCCATCTAATTCTGTTATTGTTTCACTTTTCCGCTGCCATTGGTTGTTGTTTTGTGCTGTATCTTTCATTTTAATATTTAAATGCAAAAGAAGACAACATGGGAGCAATGGTTTTGTCAAGAGAGAATATTGGCAGAGCTATTGATGCTTTACCTAATTATCATCGTTAATAATAATAATTTATAGAGTACAATTAAGCGGCGATCTTAATGCCTCAGTTCTAGCATGAACGAAGAATGAATATTCTTCTTCAAACAAAGGTTTTAAGGGTATTACTTCTTTTATCTTTTTACTATTATATTTTATCATTTTTTTTTTTTAGTTTTACGTGAGAGTTGTCTACCTACTCGTGCTCCTACTTCGATTGGAGGTCAATAAGTGTGGTTCGTTGGAAAAAAGGTCGTCTATCTTTATATGATGTGTGAATTGCTTAGCGAAGCACTATTAGATATATTTGTATTTCATCAGTCATATAACTCTATTTGCTAATGTCATGATCATGCTTTCTAAAGCGTGTTGTCTATGGTTGCATGTTGGATGTCCCAGTCGTGTTTGTCCAAGGCGTGTTCATGACCGTATGTTCGTTTCAAATCCCTTTTACATGCTTAGATAGGTTTTTACTATTTCATGTTGTCTCAATAGAGAGGTGTATGATTGTTCGCCAAAATTATGTCTATATTCATCAGCTAAAATGCCCTTGAAATGTACTATAAAGGAATGTGGCTAATTGTTAATTCTTTCCATCTGTGTTATATATTATTAAAACTTTTGTTGTCTAATCGCTTTTAACTTATAACATTGTTTTTTTTTTTCAAATTACTTTTAGCATATTTCTAAAATATTTCTTTCAAATGTGACTCGAGTCTCGAGCATACGCCAACGTTGTTTGTGAAGTTTGAATTTTTTACCGGCTAACTTGTTCGCTGAGTTATAACAAGTGTCGTACAATCATCAAGAGTTATAACAGCGAACAAGTGTCGTACAATTTCATTTTAATTTTGGGATCATTCACACCATATTAACTTTATTAACTTAAATTTAAATTTCAGGTCATAATTTGATTAATCTAAATTTAGTTTGGCTGAAAAATATTAATTTTCCCTATAACTCAACATGATAGAAAATTTCACTTTTACTGCAAAATAATTTACTTTAAATTTGGAATTTTCTTTTTTTATGGATTTGCCCGTTGCAAAACGAATAGACAACACCGCTCCCTGTCGTTCTGCATCCAACCTTATATAAGCCATTCTTCGGGCCGTTATTGAGCACCCGTCGCGGAGAAGAAGCCAGTGCCTGATGGTTGCAGCATCAGAGCCATTTGGATCTTCAGCGATTTCGACGCTGGTATTTTCTCCAGGTTATCATTTCCTCATCTGATTATCCTTGAGTGAGAAGAATCGTTGTTGTTTGGATTATTCTTTTTTCAGTTTCATGTTTAATTTCTGTGGCGTCGCAATTGAATAGCTTGATCTTTTCTTTTTATTTTAGAATTTTTCCGTTTGTTTTCCTTTCGAATTAGCGATGCCTGCTTGTATGATGAATACTTGTTTTTTCTTTCCATGGAATCGTACTCGAAAGATGGAATTACTTTCTCACTGTTAACTTGCTTTTGATTTTGATGTTTCGGTGGATATTTTTGATGAGGCATTTCAGAGGTTGAATGCGAGAAAAATTGCTGCAAGGCAAACGATGTGGTTGTATATTTTCTTCATATTTCAATAGCCTAATCTCCGAGATTCCACCTCTATTTGATTCTCTAACTGCTTCTTCCACGCGAGATCAAGAAAATACAGTTTGCTTTTGGCTTTCCTTTACAGGAGGTTTCCAGTGGTGGAGAGGCGGTGGCGAACAGCATGCAAGACCGAGAATGGTAGATGTACTTCAGACGATCTCACGTCTAGCGTGTCTCCAGTACTTTCGAATGATTCTGAGTTAGCTGCTGCATTTGTTGAGAGAAGGAAGAGGTTAGTTGAGATTGTTCACTTCTACTCCTATATATTTTTTTGCTTGTTCAAAAACTAGTTAGGAAGTAATTTATTCCTTCCTTTCTACTAAGTTGATGGCCTAGTTGTAGTGCACAAGCTTTTATGTCACGGTTGTGATGTGCGTCAATTGGAAAATCAATCTATAGCAAGTTTATGTCATCATTAAGTGTGTGCTGTGATCTTATTCTCCCAAAACTTTGTCATCACTAAATGTAATATCGATCTAGCACATACAGTAGTTTTTCTGGTGTCACTGGTTTGAGGATGTGCTAAATATAAGGCATTGTCATCAATAAGTGTGTGTGTAGTATTGTTCTCTTCTCACTATTCTTCGTCATCAATTAATGTAATATCAATCTACCTCGTGCAGTAGATTAACAGGTGGTTGCTGGTCTCATGATTTTAGTAAATGCAAATCTTTGTCGTCACAACGTGTGTGGTTTGATATTGTTCTCACAAAGTATTCTGTTATTGCTTTTGACGAAGGCTGAATGCATAAAAGAATTATGGAAATATGCTGTAATTAGTTGTTATGTTCGTTAAAATTCAAAAAAAAGAATTTGTGGTCATATAAAGAAAGTTCTAATAAAGACTGCCTGATGTTTCCTTCCCCTTTGCAGGGTCTAATAAGACTCACATTGAGGGATTTTCATTCCATCCTTGTGCCCAAGTTCCTGAACATGGCATAGATAAGCAAGCTGTGATGTTTCCTCCCCCACTTGGTAATTTTGTTTTAATGCGTTATCAGGCAATGTGTGCTTTTTGGCCTCCTGTTAAAGGATTTTACCAATTATTCATGGTCTCTGAGGATAAAGGTGCTTTTTTGTTCAAGTTGTGCCTGATGGAAGGTTATAAAGCTCCTCTGTCTATGGAATTCTGTACTGTAACTATGCCCTTTCCTAGAAGAAGGATTGTATCTTTCGATGGAACTCCTTCAATTGGAACAGTTTCTACTACCGAGCATTCAGTTGAGTGGAAAATTTTAGCAACTGGACGAGGGCTCTTGGGAAAAAGTGTTGAGGCAACTTTTCCTGGAACTATTAGGTTTTTCACCCTGGCAAATCCGAAGCTTGCATTCTTCAAGTTCTGCCTCTTCTAGTGTAGAGGAGGCAGATAGTGATATCGAGGCTGAGAGCGCAAGCGATGTGGTCAGTATTGAGGAATTTTTAATGGAGAAAATGAGCAAGGATCATCTTCCTCCAGTCGAACTAGAGGAGCCATTTTGCTGGCAGGCATACAATTATGCGAAGGTAAACTCTTCTTCTGTACTATTAAGCATTACAACGTTTCATTGCTTAGACTTGAGCTCAATCTTGTTATAACGTTCTCACGCCAACATTCTCCCATCATCGCAAGTTGAATGTCCTCATGTTTCCTACCATTATCATATATTTGCTGCCATTATCATTTATTCTGCCATCCTAGAATGTTGTAGACATGTTCTGTCCCCATAGCTCGCGAGTTTCTATACTTTTACTCCAGATGGGTGTTTCAGCGAGTTTAATACACACACACGCACACACATATATATAACAACTCAAAAATGGATGGAATGTTGAATTTGTGCAAGGATTGATCATGGTTTTGAAAATATTTTCTCCAACCCATTGTAATTTTCATATGATTTAATTCCACTTTAGATATAGCTTGAATGTCATGGCATGAAACCTTCTGCATCTTCCTCTTGCCTTTTGCTCGTGTTAAAAATCATGGTTTTATATAATTATCTTCGTGTGGTTAACAAGGTGGAAATACTTAGTGAAATGCCCTACTTATCTGTGCTTGTCTGATGGTATGTTGGGATTTTTTGTCTACTTATTTGGTAGTTCTACTTAAAACAAAACTGCTCCTGACGATCATCAATATTTTTTCTTTTGTTATGTCTCATATGTTCACAAGGCATCGTACGCACATCTCGTAGATGGGTAATCCCATATTTAGGATTAATGATGGTTGGCTGGTACCAATTTGAGACGGTGTATAGCAAGTTGACTGGAACGCTTACTTTTTATGAATTCTGATTTCAGGTATCCTTCAAGATTTTAGGGGCATCATTATCAGGAATATCTGTCGATCCTAAATCTGTGAGTTTCTGATTGTGCTATGTAGATTTTATCCTCCTTTAGTAAGCTAGGCCACTCCTTGCGACAGTACTAATGGGTGGATTCGACTGTCGATAGCATGCATTTATCAGTACATATAGATATTAAATCAGTATGGTTTTAGGTTTAGTTGACATAAATGAAGTTTCTTTTTCAGAGTAGTTAGAGCTTGCTTGCCCAAAGTCACTCAACTTGTCGAGTGTTATTGACCTACCCTCTCTATTTTCACTATTGGGAAGATAAAAGTGTTATTGACCTACACTCTCTTCTCAAAGACAACTTGAGTGTTATTGACCTACACTCTCTATTTTCACTACTGGGAAGACAAAAGTGTTCTACACTCTCTTCTCAAAGACAACTTGAGTGTTATTGACCTACACTCTCTATTTTCACTACTGGGAAGACAAAAGTGTTCTACACTCTCTTCTCAAAGACAACTTGAGTGTTATTGACCTACACTCTCTATTTTCACTACTAGGAAGACAAATTGACCTACACTCTCTTCTCAAAGACAACTTGAGTGTTATTGACCTACACTCTCTATTTTCACTACTGGGAAGATAAAAGTGTTATTGACCTGCACTCTCTTCTCAAAGACAACTTGAGTGTTATTGACCTACCCTCTCTATTTTCACTACTGGGAAGACAAAAGTGTTATTGACTTATACTCTCTTCTCAAAGACAACTTGAGTGTTATTGACCTACACTCTCTATTTTCACTACTGGGAAGACAAAAGTGTTCTACACTCTCTTCTCAAAGACAACTTGAGTGTTATTGACCTACACTCTCTATTTTCACTACTGGGAAGACAAAAGTGTTCTACACTCTCTTCTCAAAGACAACTTGAGTGTTATTGACCTACACTCTCTATTTTCACTACTAGGAAGACAAAAGTGTTATTGACCTACACTCTCTTCTCAAAGACAACTTGAGTGTTATTGTCCTGTACTCGTAAAGACAACTTGAGTGTTATTGTCCTGTACTCGTAAAGACAACTTGAGTGTTATTATCCTATACTCGTAAAGACAACTTGAGTGTTATTGTCCTATACTCGTAAAGACAACTTGAGTGTTATTGATCTATACTCATAAAAACAAGTTGGATGTGATTAACATACACTCTACAACTTGAGGGGAATGTTGAGATATAATATTTTGAGAATATATTATTTATGGAATATATCTTAATATTCTCTCCTTTATGATTTAATTTATAATATATTTTATTTTATTCTCAATATTTAATTAGTTTATATTTTCTTTATTGGTAGGTATTAATTGTTAGTTTGTATCCTATTTAAAGCTTGTAAATATCAATGTCAACACTTTCAATCCAATTCTATTTCTCATTGTATAACATGAAATTAGGGGTTGTTAGGGTCCAAGATGAATTTAGAAGATAGTGATTCTTATGTTATTATTTTGATTAGTCATTTCATTGTCTTAATATTTTGATAGAAAAATATGCTCTTGAAAAAGAGACGACGACCCAATTCACCGCTGGAGTTCGCCTGAAAACGGGCGTCGAGTACTCCAATTTAGCGCCAAATTGGTGAGTGCTTGAAATTATCTCCATGCGCACACACAAGATAAGGGTAAAATTACCACTCTACCCCTGTTTCCTATTGTACGTCTTTGTTTCGAAAATTATTTTAAATACTTATTTTGTTTGCAAATTTTTATAACTCACATCCTTTTCTAATTTAATAAAAAAAATAGACATTTTAGGTGGTATTCATAGAATAAATTCCTTAATTCGAGGTTGATTGTTTTTTTTTTTTTTTTTTTGAGATAATAGGAATTTTATTTAAAGATTTTTAAAATTGTACAATCTAAAAAAAACCTTGAACCCATACGTGTTTCTGTGGTCTTAGTGTAACAGGTTTGTCTGAAAATTATACGTACCTATTTTTTTCCACCGCGTTATGCATTTCGTGTCATTGCCCTTCGTCCGGCTTCGATTTGTCACGTAAGAAGATAAGGCACATAAGCTAATGATTACATAAGAACACCAAAAAAATCATTGTGCTATATTTTCTTTTTGTTAATATATTTATATATTTTATTTTCATTTGGAAGCAGTGTGCACCTGCTTGTCCTGTTCTCATTACAGTGCATGCAGAGAAGCTTTTTGGTACCCTCTAATTGCACTTGTCTGCCTGGTTGGTCATCTGGTGCCCCTCACAATCAGCCTCTGGCCTTCTTAAGGTACGCCTCGGTACACTTATAAATTCTATAGACTTCCTCGCTTGTCTCCAAGCCTGCCATAATAGAATAGATAGGCGAAGCAGCCAATAAATAGCTGTATGTTCTCGCCTATCGATAGTTAGTAGGTTGTTTTCAAGCTCAAACCATTGGAAACGGAATTGGTATTCTCCGCCCCCGCCAAATCTAGTCTAGAGAGAGAACTGAAAGAGAGAAGGAACCAAGATCAGAGAAAATGATCTTAGAGACCTAATAATTCAAACATATTTTTCAAAATAAAAAATTATTTGAACTTTTACAAAAATAAAGGGAAAATGGATTTAAATTTATTGATTAATGCATTTTTAAAAAGTTTAAATCTGTTTTATTCCTGAACTTTCATAGTGCACTCCTTTATGGTTCCCAAACATTCAAGTGATATGTTTTTGTGTCTAAATTTTTGTATCCTTTTAATTTTATATTTGTAAATCATTTTATCTAGAATGCGTGTGCTTTATTTTATTATTTTTTTTGTTGGACGATATAAACTTGTAAGCAACTGCTTGAATAAAGTAAAAATATATTTATGTTTAATTTGTAATGAATGTTTGGGAACCACATTTTAAGAAATTGAAATGAAATTTATATGAAAGTTCAGGGTCAAAACAGTATTTAAACTTATTTTTCTAATTCTATATAATGTAGATTTTTTTAAAAAAATATATTTTCGAAAATTTGCTATATTTTTTGAGATAATGAAAGGAGGAGATCGTGTTTATTGTCACAATTTTTAACCTAGCAAACATGTTATCGTGAGAATTTGGACGACGTGAAAAATGTCGGTGTTTGCTTGTTTGCAAGGAATGTTTAAGAAAACGTGAGCGTTGAGAGATTTTTTAAAAAGAGTTTGAAAGTAAGCTTGAAAGTTGTTATACGGGATATAAGTAAAGAAAGACACGTCATAGCTTATAGTTCACGTAGTAAGAATTGACAACTAGTCGCATCTCTTATAGTACATTTTGGGGTATTTTAGTCAAGTTTAGATATGATTGTGGTGAATGATCATAAACTCCAGTAACAGAGTGTAACGACCCAGATTCACCGCTAGCAGATATGGTCCGCTTTTGGGTTTTCTCTTTCGGGCTTCCCCTCAAAGCTTTAAAACGTGTCTGCTAGGGGAAGGTTTCCACACGCTTATAAATGGTTAGCAGATATGGTCCGCTTTTGGGTTTTCTCTTTCGGGCTTCCCCTCAAAGCTTTAAAACGTGTCTGCTAGGGGAAGGTTTCCACACGCTTATAAATGGTGGTTTGTTCTCCTCCCCAACCAATGTGGGATATCACACAGAGCATGAAACAGTAAGGACATATTTAAGATGCTTGGAATGAGCATGCAGTCATAGACAACACATCCTAGACAAGTTTGATCGGAACATCCGACATGCGACCATAAACATGCTTTAAACCAACACGATCACGACACTTATTACTCGTAATTATTAATGATGTTAATCTTATTTGCTAGAAGGCTAGAAGAAAAAGGAAAAGAAAATGCATATTTAGAGTTCCAAGATGTGGGCAATGCCACCATTTTCGATGTTAAATATTCATAGGAAAGAAGAAGAAATCTAAATTGGGGTTTGGGTTGAGACCTCGTGAGAAAATGTTAAAAAAAAGAACAATGGCGGATTTTGGAAAAAGTAATTCCACTTTTGGGTTTGGAACAGAGGGAACATGATGCCCTCATTGCTTACACTCTCTATTTCCATTCTAATATTACTTTCCATATCTCTCTCTCTCTCTCTCTCTCTCTCTCTCTCTCTCTCTCTCTCTCTCTCTCTCTCCAGGCCCATTATTGTGGGCCCAGTAGGGTTTGGAAAAGCAATAGGCTTACCTCTCTCTTTCTCTCTCAAACCCTTTGTAGGCCCACAAAAATACCATAAAACGACAGCGTTTTATGTCAGCAACTTAGTGAAAAGAAAGCCCAAGTGAGCCACTAGGGAAATTACTTTACCTTTAGGCAAAATTTTCATCTTAAATTAAAAATTGTTTTCACTTAAATTTTAGGGTTTAGGGTTCGTCTAAACATTTTAAAAGGTATCAAATTTCGCTCGTCTTTCAATTTTATCAAATTTGACCCTCGACTTTGTTAAATATTGTTATTTCTATTTCTATTCATTTTTCATCAAATTACGTACTAGTTTAACCAAAAAATATTTAATTTTATAAACTCGTTAATTTTAATAATATTTCAAAAATTGAAGTTTAATTAGTGGAAATTAGCAACTTAATAACTTTGTCAAAATTAACAAATTTTAATAAATAAATAAAAATTGCAAGTTTTTTTTTTATTTTTGTAAATACTAATATTTTGAAGCTTAAAATTCCAATAATAAATTTAGAAACTTGGATTGGAGTCATTGGTGTTGGGTTTGTGGGGGGAGTGTAAAAGGCGATTTCCACAAATCTGGTATCTGACAAATCAGTAGTTTAAAATAAACACCAAATGGTCCAACACCTTGTATTTCTTTTTTAATAACTAGATAGTGGATAATGGGAGCTTAAAATATAGCGGATATAGCATGGTCCTCTTCGTGTAAGGATTTTCAACATTCACGTGAAAGGATTTTGAGTCCTAATTATGGGGAAAGATTCTCGTATTAACTCTTATATCCTCATCGGTTTTGCATAGAAAAAAAATATATATTAAAAATTAATAGTCTAGCTTCTATTATAAATATTCCTCCACTCTATTAAATTTTTCATCGAAAAAAATCAAGAAATCTCATGCAAAGCGAATTACAAAAGTATTCTATAGAGTTTCTTGTAACATCTTATATATTAGTTTTAATGAAAGTGCGAGTAATTTTCAAAAAAAAAAAAATTGTGGTCAACAGTTCTAGGGTTTTCCACTAATATATATATTTTGAATATATATATTAGTTTAAGAGTCGAGACGTCATAATTAAAGAAAATCAAGAGCCTCCGTGAATAAATTTGGCTATATTGTTCGTTTAATTTATGAACTTTTAAAGGTAGGTATATATATATTCTTAAGTTTTTTTTTTCACCATATCTCTAAACTTTAAAAATATTTAATAGATTTTTAAACTTTTTAATTTTGTATTTTGTTGGTCTCTTATATATTAAAAATTTTAAAAAGAATATTCACAATTTTATGTTTAATAAAACTTTAAAATTTTAATTTTTTATTCTATATATATATATATAATATTTTAATGTTGAATAAGTCTAAAATAAATAAATTTATTTATTATTATTTGAGGTAACAGAAGAAATGTTAATGAGAGAAACGAGAGAACAGTACACATAAATGATTGGTTGTAAGACAAAAGACATAACGTGAAGTTCCATAAATAAATAAATAAATAAATATTGAAGTGAAGAGGAGAAAAGAACAAGGCATGGGATGAGAGAGAAGGCACGCTGTTGATAGGCTTCCAGAGCCCAAGGGATAAGGGATAAGGGCCAAAATCATACTTCTTTGCGTGGTGTACTCGAGTTAGATTCTCATTTTAACATCTTACAATTCCAAAAATATTTAAATTTGTTAATACAATCATCACCCAACTCAACTCGTTAATTTAAATTTGTTACTCGCACTGTTATAATTAGATCGATTATGCTAAACAATCACACTTGACTAAGATCCGTTAGCGTAATTGACAAAATGATGACTTATTGAACTTCTTTTTATCCAAAAGTCGGTCGAATTGGATGGGTTCCACACTCTAGAACGTCAAATGTTATAGGTAGTTGGGTTCTCTTTCAACCAACCCTTTTGATATGATAGACTCGATCACCTTTCCCCTATCAAAATCGACATTTCTCATTTGTTAGTTCGAGACTTGGTAGTTGCCTAACCGTAGATCCAATTTCTCGGGGTTGAATATTCAGGACGTTCTTTGATTGTTGTAGTTGTTGGATGATGAAAGTCCCACATCGACTAATTTAGGGAATGATCATGAGTTTATAAACAAATAATACTCTCTCCATTAGTATAAGATCATTTGAGAAAACTGACAACAAACCCATAAGATTTGTACTATTGTGGAGAGTCGTATTCGTGTCATGAATTCTTCCTCTATATAGAGATTAAATTAAATAAAATGGGAATTATTTAGTTGTTAAGAAAATATGTAATTGGGGGAGTGAAATGGGTAAGGCATGCAAGATTGTGTGGCCACCAATATATATATATATTAAAATCTCACTCACTCCTGATCTTTGGTTTGCCTTTCTAAATCTTTCGCCATCCAACAATGTCATCATAAGATACATGCATGGTCTTGTTTTTTGTCGTTTCCCACGTATGATTTGCAGCCTCTCTCTCTCTATATATATATTATATATATATGACCATAAAATTAATTAATTAATTAATTAATTAATTACTCTTTGAAATAAATAAATAAAAACAATATACTCGATTGTGCTAGAACCAGTCACAAGAATTGGCTGCAAAACCAAAAATTCTCGGGAACAGCCCAAAGATTTTGTGGACAATGGAAATAATACAAATATATTTTTAAATTTTCAAACTTTTAATAATAAAAGTAAAAAATACGTTCAAAATTTTGAAAGTATTTAAAAATATTATTAATTCTTAAAGATTAAAAAAAAATTAACATTTTTAAAAATTGAAGGATATTTTTTTAGTTTTTTAAAATTAAAACTATTATTAAAATTTTTAAGTTAAAAAAGGTGGTATGTTTGTGGGCATGTAATAAATTAAGTTAAATTAAATAAAGTTTTCTAAATGACAAAAAAAAAAAAAAAAATTCTATGAGTGTATATTGACCTAACTCTATATAATATCTTTTTACATCATTATAAAATCTGTCTTTAATCGTTTGATGCAATAATATATTAGATATATCGTCTCGCTTCATCGTTAGTAGATATCGTTCGCTTTTGATCTGTTATGTATTATAGTCAGTTTCACGATTTTAAAACGTGTCTACTAGAGATGAATTTTCACATCCTTATAAAGAAAGTGGTGGGAACGAAATATTACTTATAAGAGTATGAAAATCTTTTTTTAGTAAATATATTTTAAAATCATGAAGTTGACAGTGATACGTAACGTGTGTCAAAGTAAGAGTGGATTTCTATTGGAAGTGTTTTAAGGCGTGCAAATTCCTGTATCCATTATATGGCGGCTATCAGCTAAATTGTTGTAGCACTGTGCCGATTGTCGCACAAACACAAGCGTCGCAAAGTGGGGACGACTTGTCGAACTGAAAA